AACTGAGCAACTGAATTAAAATTGTTCAGATAAACTATTTTTAATGGAACTTTATGGTAGTAAAAATCCCCAAAAGGGTTAAAAAATGATCTTACAGGGTAAAATTCTCGGTGACAATTTTGGCATATTAAATTCTATCTCCAAAAATGACTCAGGAGTATTCTTAAAAATATGGGAAATTAAAATATGGGAATATTTTGATGAGATTTAGCTGACTAAGTGATTGAACTGCCCTAAAATCATCCAGTATCTGCCCACTTCTCCCTGTGCAAAAAGCTGATTTTATTATGGTTAAACTCCGTTTGAGCTCCCAAATATTCACCCTCTCAATGGAGACCTGGTGTCGTTGCTCCTGAAGATTTCTGTATTTCACAGATTTTCTTTCAGGGAATTTTATTCCTTAAAAATACAGAATTATGGCAGATTTTTTGAACTTGTCAACCATCAGAGCAGACAAGCCCCAGAAACACAACATATATTAAAGAAATGTGGCTCTGGCTGTTTTCCTCCTGGCAATTCCTGGTGAAGATGCCATAAATTCTGTCCCCAGCTGGAGCAGAAATTCTAAATAAACTCTTTTTTTTTTTTTTTTTTGTCCTTTCCTAATGCTGATCTAACAATCAGAAGAGTTTTCTATTTAAACCAAATGTTTGCCTTTTTTATGATGGCTGAGGATTTAACCACAATTTCCAGGGCTTAACAGCAGGAGCTGAGTTAACTCATTTCCTCCTGCACTTAACAAGGACTGGCTTGGGAAAATGCTGCCAACACCCTGGGAAGCCCAGAGGAAAACTGGGCTGCAGGGAAAATAGGAATATTCTGGCAGAAAAGGAGGCAAAAAGGCAGAAAATTGGGATTTGAGGAAGGAAGGTCTGGCTTATCCCACAGCAGACTTGATAATTGCAAGAATTCGTGGGAGATTTTGGATTGTCACAGGAGGAGAAACATTAATTGAAATAATTTTCGATCTGGTGAGGGTGTTTCCAAAATCATGTAGATATCAGGGATAAATTCCTCCCTGGGGAGGCTTGGGATGGAATTCCCAGAGCAGCTGTGGATCCCTGGAGGTGTCCAAGGAAGGTTTGGGATGGTGGGAGGTGTCCCTCCTTTAAGGTCCTTCCAACCCAAACCATCCCAGCAATCCTGTGGGTTCCCAACACATCATCCAAGAAATCCATGGAAAAAAAGTTTCCTCATCAAAATGGATCAGTGGAAGCCCAAACAGAACATTTCAGTGTAAGGAGAAGGAGGAACAAAAGGAAGAATTTTAAGGGAATCTTCAGGAGGAATAAAGGCCAAAGACAGAACGGGCACGTGGATCATCACCCCAAAATACCAGCCTGAAAATTTATTTCTAACACAAGGAATGCAATGAGGCAAAGGAATGTTGGCAGTGGGG